GAAGACCAGGGGCTACACCTGAGGTGTCACCTGAAGGTCTTTTACTGGAAGTGCTGGAGGATCATATGGTGCCAGAGTAGATTCCAGGCTCCCTGCATGCAAGACATGTGCTCAAGCTTGAGCTATTTCTCCAGTCTCAGAAAACTGTTTTTGAGTTTCATCAGTGTTGTTACCTATATTACAATTTTGAGATTTTTGCTGCTAAATAGAATTTCATTATATTAACATATAATTTCTTTGCCCTTTGTTGATAACAGTTTTGGTTGTTTCCTGTTTGAGGTTTTAAATAATAAGTTGACTGTGAAGATTTGTGCATATGCTATGTGTTTTAAAATGTACAATTTTAAGTAAATCTAAAATAAATCACATTGAATGACGAAGAAAAACCTAGAATTGAATTACATTGAAAACATTACATAAAACTTGAGGGAATGCAATAAAAACAGTGCTGTAAAGAAAATTGATAGCCTTATATGCTGTAATTTATCTTCTGTAGCCATAAAAGTATGCTATAGGGTAAAAAATTAATGATTAGAGATTTAGTACCAGCCATGAGGGAGTAACAAGTAACTTACTTTTCTGCTTTAAACAACTATAAAACTGTACAATAGATATGAGGCAACCATTTCCAAGAATAGACAATAGACAGCACAGGGATAATGGGATTAGGATCTTTGATGGAAAGTAAAACAAGGTGAGCTCAACAGTCTCATTGGTTCTTGGTATGGGGTGCTCTCTAAAAGGTAAAACAGATATGAATCCTAAATAGAAAGCAATATTTCAGTGAGGCAGAAGACAGAGGTCTTGATGAAGGCACATAGATAGGAAAGGGTCCCCATAACAATGAAATTCCTAGGAAGTAATAAAACCAATAGTCTCAAGGTTGCAAAAAGATACTTGGCAGACACAGGAATTAAGTCTTGATAAAACTTCACCTGGTGCCAAAAGATCCAGAGAACACTGGACCCAGAGAACCTCCAGCAGGAGCATAGGTCAAAGAAAGGAATTTCAAAAAAGATCAGGGACCAATCCTAACACTACCCACTTGGCAACTACCCTAGCAATGGACTGTTACTAACTAGAAAATCCCATGTTGGGAAGTTTGAGAAACCCTATAAAAGCCAACTTGATCAAAGGAAGAGTGCACATAGGCTACCTGAGCCAATGTGCTGCTTGTGTCTACATGGCCAACCACATGATGTGACCAAGCATGTGTTTTGCCTGCATCTCTCCTCTTGAGATGTGTACTGGAGTTCTTCCACCTTTGGAGAAGTCTGTGTTCTCTCTTGAGGACAAAACTCTCTCCCTTATTTCCTTTCTCTTTCCTCAAAAACCTCTAAATAAAAACTTTTTCACTTCATTCCTCATCAACTCCTGCAATTATTTTTTTGTGAGAAAGACAAGGATCCTGGAATGCCTATGTAAGGCCTTGGACTGGCTTTTTTTCTGCAAAGAGCAATTTCTCACTCCAGTCTGAGTCCACGGCTCCCAGAGAAATCGAGTGGTGGCAATTTGACTCCCATGCTGAGAAGGACAATGGATATCAGGTGTGGCTTGATGGCTATCTCGTGGATATGGCGGGACTTGTGATCCATATTGAGAAGAGGCACTGGGTCAAGATGTCAAAAATGGAGATTTTTTTCAGAAAAAAATGCTGAGTTATGTATGGGAAGGGTGAGACTCTCTGAGGCTAGGTGGAGACTGACAGGATTCTGAGAGGAGTTAGAGATTTCACTGGTGGCACAGTGTGATGATATTGTAGTGGCAAACTGAGTTCTAATAGGTGCCAATCACCCTTGTTAATATTATGCAGGCATATTCATTGGAATTTCTGTACATAATTATCAACTAATTATTATTATTATTATTATTATTTGGTTATGGCCCACAGCTGGCAGTGCTCAGGATTTACTCCTGGCTCTGAGCTCAGGGATCACTCCTGGTGGGCTCAGGGGCAATATGGAGTGCTGGTATCAAACACAGGTCAACTGTGTGCAAGGCAAGTGCCATACCCACCCTTCTATTGTTCCAGTGCTGCATATTTACCATTTTATTATCAATATTTTATTCATTTCAAATATTCTTGGTAAAATCAGTTTCCTTCGTGTTTAAAAATCAATAATTCAAATCTTTTTCGAAAGAAGTCTCCTGGTAGTAGATGTTCTCATTTTCTAAGTTAATAAATATTTCATTTCACTTTTATTCCTGAATAATAGTTCCAGTGAAGTCTAGACTTTAGGTTGAGTTATCATCTTTGCACACATTGTAATTATTTCATTGTATTTAAACTCTATTTCTGCTCTTTAGAAATCTGCCTCTTTGGAGTAGAGAAATAATATGGTGGTTAAGGCACTTACCTTGCACACTACCAATTTCAGTTTGATTCCTGGCATCATATGGAAGAAAGAAAGAGAGAAAGAGAGGAAAAGAGATAGAAAGAGAGGGAAAGAGGGAGAGAGGAGTGAAGGAGGGAAGGAAGAAGGGAAGGAAGAAAGGAAGGAAGGAAGGAAGGAAGGAAAGAAGGAAGGAAGGAAGGAAGGAAGGAAGGAAGGAAGGAAGGAAGGAAGGAAGGAAGGAAGGAAGGCTTACTATAGTGTTTCTTTTCTCTTGGCTCTTTTCACATCTTTCCTTTACCTCTGTTATGTTTTATTACAGAAGTTTCTCTGACATATGCTTCAAGGCATTCTGTCCCTAGTGTTTCAGTATACTGTTGGAGATAAATTGGTCTTGGTATACTCTTGGGGGGTTTATGTTTTTCATATTTGCAATATTCCTTCTTAGTTTTCTCTGTTTTCCACTAGACATCAATGACTAATATTCAATTCTTTTTATTTCTTAACTTTTCTTGGGCTGGAGCGATAGCACAGCGGTAGGGCATTTGCCTTGCACGCAGCCAACATGGCCGACCCAAGTTCGATTCCTCTGCCCCTCTCGAAGAGTCCGGCAAGCTTCCGAGAGTATCTCGCCCACACGGCAGAGCCTGGCAAGCTCCCCGTGACGTATTCGATATGCCAAACACAGTAACAACAAAATCTCCAATGGAGATGTTACTGGGCCCGCTCAAGCAAACCGATGAACAACGGGAGGGCCTTTACTTTACTTTACTTACTTACTTTCATATTTTCAATCTAGATACCTCTTTAAGAAATTGCCAGTTAAGTTCTTCAGACACATATTTCATTTGGTCTAATCTGCTGTTGAATATGACCAGTGTGCTTTAACACCAACAGTTACATATTTAATCACAACCAGAGATTTTCTTTGTTTTCCTTTAATTTGTTTATTGATTATTGATGTCATTATATTACCTTATCTTTAAAAGCTCATAGTGACTATTCTTTATCTTATTACTATCCACAGATTTAGGAAATTAAAATAGACAGTTTATTGTTTCTATATTCTTTCACTCATAATTTGTTTTCTTGTGTATATGTTAATTACAAATTCTAAGATCATACTTGCTTTTTTAAAAAAATTATTTTATCTTATAAAATTGTTCACAATAGTTCATTACAGATAATATTTAAACACCAATCCCACCACCGTGCACCTTCCCACCACCATAAGAGGAAAGTGTATGAAGATTGTTCTATTTCGTCCTGGAGCCATTTAAGCCCTTGGATAACAGATTACAAACATGTATGATAAACCCAAACAAATCTGTGCTACTTTTGGTACATCAGTGGGCTAGAGTAAAAGAGTTCACTTGGCCACCCAGGGTGTTTTGTGTTGCTCTCTTCCAGGAGCTTTATTTCATAGTCTCTGGATCTTGACAGTTGATGAGATTATATGGCGTCAGGGGCAGTTTGTGGAAGTGATTGCCAAACTACTGGAAAACTGGGAAATTGGGGGAGGAGGCCCAGTCGCATTCTGAGTGAGCTTGGAGATCTCAGTCACAGGTCTCTCGTACCTGGGTTTTTTTGCAGGTTCTGCCACGGGTGATGCTCATCTGAGCCTGTGGAGAGCGGCCTTGAGCATGCCTTCAGGGTTAGGTTCTGAAGGTTTATAGTTGCTGGGGTTCTTCTGGGGCAGGGAGAAAAATTCAACCTGCCTCACTTCTGAGTTGCCCTGGTGAAGTCATCCTGGCACAGAGTCAGGACCCATCATACTTGCTTTTAATCTTTTAGGTTTAAGTGGAAAACCTTTCTAACTTGGGAGACTCTTTCTTCTTCTGAAAGTAGTTTTCTGCTTATCAGTTCTCTTTTGTTCCATTGCTTCTCTTTTGAGCATCAGGGAACTAAATGATTGTTTTTCCATGTGCTCCATTTATTTATCCACTGTCGTTTATTCAAAAAATATTATTTAGGGGGCTAAAGCGATAGCACAGTGGAAACGGCGTTTGCCTTGCACATGGCTGACCTGGGTTCAATTCCCAGCATCCCATATGGTACCCTGAGCACCACGAGGAGTAATTCCTGAGTGCAGAGCCAGAAGTAACCCCTGAGCATTGCCAGGTGTGACCCTCAAAAAGAACCGAAAATATTATTTAGTAGCTATTATATAATATATATAATAATAATACTTCCCCCGCGCCTGGCTGTCCTCGCCAGGGCCCCTTGAAGGGGAGCGGGTTGAGCTTTCCTCCCCGCCCCGGCCAGGGTTCCTGCAGCCAAAGACCTCCAGGACCAGCCACCACCATGCTGAGACCACTCTCCGCACACATGAAGGTACTGGCAGAGGGACAAAGTCATGCGGGTCCCGGGGTCGAGATCTCCAAGCCTACTTGGATTGGGGCCGAGCAACCTCCACCCACAAATCACAATCACAAATCATCCTGTTATTCGTCGATTGCCTCGAGCAGGCCCCAGTAACGTCTCCTTCATCCTAGCCCTGAGATTATATTCAAGGCTCTTTAGGAGAATGAGACCCATCATTGTTACTGGTATTTGGCATATTGGGTACACCACGGGGATTTTGCCAGACTCTGCCGTGTGGGCAGGCTACATTCGGTAGCCTGCCAGTTTGTCAAAGTAGGAATGGGATGTCATAATAAGATGTAGCGCTCAACACACTCAGGGAACTCAACCCTATGTATGAAGGATATCTCCAGCATGATGCACAGGAAGTAGTACAGTGTATTTTGGGGAACATTCAAGAGACATGCCAACTCCTAAAAAAAGAAGAAGTAAAAAATGTGGCAGAATTATCTACCAAGGTCGAGGAACAACCTCATCAGAAAGAGGAATTAAGTGGCATGAAAAGCATAGAGATGGACAGTGTAAGGCATTCTGAAGACTATAAAGAAAAACTTCCAAAAGTAAATGGGAAGAGAAAAAGTGATACCGAATTTAGTAATACGAAGAAAAAAGTTAAAGTATCCAAGGAACACCAATTGTTGGAAGACAACCAGAGACAAACCAGATCAAAAACAAAAGCTACAGGTGATATGTTAGAGGTTCCTCCTAAAATAATCCCCAAGTACATTTCTGAAAATGAGAGTGCAAGATCCTCGCAAAAGAAATCAAGAGTCAAATTAGATTGGTTAAAGTCTGCAGCAAAGCAGCCCAGCATTTTTTCTAAATTCTGTAGTCTGGGGAAAATATCAACGATCCAAGGATCCAAAGGACAATCGAAGGAAAACGAGTATGATCTTGATGAAGAGGACCTGGGCAAATATGAAAATGATAACACAGCGAATGGTTGTGGACTTGAATCTCCAGGGAATAATGTTAACCCTGATACCAATGAAGTTAAGCCCATAAACAAAGAGCAAATTGGTTTTGAATTAGTAGAAAAGTTATTTCAAGGTTAACTGGTATTAAGAACTTGTTGCTTAGAATGTGAAAGTTTAACAGAAAGAAGAGAAGATTTTCAAGACATCAGTGTACCTGTACAAGAAGATGAGCTTTCTAAAGTAGAGAGTTCTGAAATTTCTCCAGAGCCAAAAACAGAAACGAAGACCTTGAGATGGGGGATATCACAGTTTGCTTCAGTGGAGAGGATTGTAGGAGAAGATAAATATTTCTGTGAAAATTGCCATCATTATACTGAAGCCGAACGAAGTCTTTTGTTTGACAAAATGCCTGAAGTTATAACTATACATTTGAAGTGCTTTGCTGTTAGTGGCTTGGAGTTTGATTGTTATGGTGGTGGACTTTCCAAGATCAACACTCCTTTGCTGACTACGCTCAAGTTGTCACTAGAAGAATGGAGTACAAAGCCAACCAACGACAGCTATGGATTATTTGCAGTCGTGATGCACAGTGGCATCACAATCAGTAGTGGGCATTACACTGCTTCCGTTAAAGTCACTGATCCTCCACCCAGATCCTCCAAATTCCAGTAGGCGGGGGTCACACCCACCAACTGGCCCCCTGGCGCCTTGTAATCCCATCAATGGCCAAGACCCCAGAGACCATAAAAACCAGCTCCCGGAAACGCGCGGCCGCATATGGAATGTAGCCTGCCCACATGGCAGAGTCTGGCAAACTCCCCGTGGCGTACCCAATATGCCAAATACCAGTAACAATGATGGGTCTCATTCTCCTAAAGAGCCTTGAATATAATCTCAGGGCTAGGATGAAGGAGACGTTACTGGGCCCTGCTCGAGGCAATCGATGAATAACAGCTATTATATACCTGGCAGTGCTTGGGATGTAAGCAAAGTACTGTCAGTCAGATATCAAGAGGATCTTTTTAAAATTTTTTGAAAAGCAGTATAGTTGGATAGGAAGTGCTTAGACTGTTTAGGGAGGTGTTCTGCAATTTTTTTAATTTGTATTTTTAGTTATTTTCATTGAATCACCATGAATTACAAAGTTACAAAGTTATTCATGGTAGAGTCCTAGGCATACTATGTTCCAACATCAATCCCTTCACCAGTGTCCACTTTCCTCTACCAGTGTTCCAAACTTCCCTCCCATGCCCACTCCCACCAGTCAGCCTTTAATGTTTATTTTGTTTATTTTTCCTCTTTTGTTTTAAGTACAGTGGTTTAAAATGCTGTCGCTGATAGGGTATCGTGCATATTACTTTTCCTCCATTCAGCACACCTCAACTTCTTTGAGTGCTGACCACTTCCTTCCAACACTGACTTAGATTTCCCTTCCCTGACCTATTCCCCCACTTCTCCCCTCCTGCCCCCACTTCCCCGGTGGCAATCTTCCTGCTGAAGACCAGTTCTCATGCTCTTCATATCTATTGACTTTGGGATTTATTATTCTTTAATTATGCTTCTTTATACCCCACATATGAGGAGATATCATTCTGTATCTATCATTTCTCTGACTAACTTGATTTAGCATGATATTCTCCAGATCCATCCATGTAGCAGAAAATTGCATGATTCTATCTTTTCTTAGGGCCAAGTAGTATTTCATTGTATGTATATACCGACCGTAGTTTCTTTTTTTTTCTTTTTTCTTTAAATTTTGTTTATTTTTTTTAAATTTTATTGAATCACCATGAGATAGTTACAAGCTTTCATGTTTTAGTTACAATCACACAATGATCAAACACCCATCCCTCTACCAGTGCACATTCCCCACCACCAATATCCCCGGTATACCTCCCCTAACACCCCCTTTCCCACCCTCCCCCTGCCTCCATGGCAGACAATATTCCCCATATTCTCTCTCTACTTTTGAGCATTATGGTTTGCAATACAGACACTGACAGGTCATCATTTTTGGTCCTTTATCTACTTTCAGCACACATCTCCCATCCCGACCGATTCCTCCAGCCATCATTTTCTTAGTGATCTCTTCTCTATTCCATCTGCCTTCTCCCCTCTGCTCATGAGGCAGGCTGCCAGCTATAGAGCAATCTTCCTGTCCCGTGTATCTACTGTCCTTGGGTGTCAGCCTCATGTTATGCTATTCTACCATAGTTTATTTATCCAGTTATATGCTCTTGGGCACTTAGGGTGTCTCCAGATTTTGGGTATTGTAATAAGTGCTTGTTCTGTAACTTTTGATAGAGTAATCTGGGAAAGGGCTCACCCAGAATATACTGAGAACAGAGGTCTAATGTTCTAAGGAAACACAGCATACAAGGTGCATTAGTAGGTGAGGAATGATCAATCTTGATGGGAGAAGCAGGCCAAGCAGCAGTAGATACTAAGATGGAATATTGGAAAAATCACAACAGTGATCCCAAGTAAAGTGCAATGAACAAGTGAAGGAGTGACTTGAAGAAGTAGTTCAGAGAGGAAAGGAATAGAAAGTCCCCAGGACTTGGTAGTCATTGTAAAAGTTTAATTTTTTATTTGCATGAGATGGTAAGGCAAATTAATGTTTGGGGTAGGGCAGTGATATAAACTTACTGAAAATATGTCTATTCTGTTTTTGTGTTAAGAGTAAATAGTAGAAAAGAAAAGTGTTTGTATTATTTAGTAGCCTATGCAAGAAACTAGGTGAGACTTTGGTGATTCAGATCAGTGTAACAGTAATAGTAATAAGGTTCATAGTATGCAATCCTATTTGAGATAAACTCTGAGAGCTAAGCCAAAAAGAATCGCTGATGAATTGGATGTAGGATGGGAGAGAAAAAAGAATCCAAAGATAGCTCTGAGCGTCTGAGCACCTGGAAGGACAAAGTTAATAGTTTTTATTTTTTCAACAGCAACATCATTGTTTATGTTTTGTTCTGAGAATTTATCAGCTATGTGATAAATAAATGTGCAAATATTTTCTCCCATTTGACTAGTTGTACATTCATTTTGTTTAGTTCTTATTATTTGCTATAGCATAAAGCTTTTGTGTAAGCCTCTTATGAATCTTTTACGTATTTTTAAAATTTTTTATTTTATAAAGTAGTTCACAATATTTCATTATATTAATATTCAAACACAAATCCCACCACTATTACACCTTCCCATCACCATATTTCTGAACCCTAATCCCTGCCCCAAAGTGGAATCAAAATAATATATTTGGTATTGTTTTTATGAAAAACCGCTGAAAATGCTACAAAAAAGTATCCTTAGAAGAAAGAGTGTGGAGGTTGTTGTATTTATACATATATATACTATATATATATAGCATATATATCTGTAAAATAGTGTATATTTCTCTCTAAGATTGGTTGCCTCCTACTTTGAACTGTATCAAATGTGGTGTGGTAATATTGAAGTATGGGTAGGGTATGTGGTTTGAAGTATTGCACAGCTGCAAATGAAGCTGCATAAAAGATTCATTTGTGTGTGATGCTCTGCCTGAGCGTGTGGAGAGCAGCCATAGGCATGGCAGCGGCTGGGTTCTGGAGGTTTTGAACTGCTGGGGCAGGGCCCCTGAAACAACCTGGCATGGGGTCCAGTGGCATGGTTATGGTGAGCATCATGTTATGCTCCCTTCTGAGAGAGAAGGACATGTGATCTGAATGACATGTGACAAGATTATCTGGCTCCAGCCAGAAGCAGGTGAAGTTAATAGTTTTTTTAAGGAGGCAAAAGCTGATGGAAAACTCAAACATTACTATGGGGGAGAAAAAGGAAATATAAATTCTTTTTAAAAAATTTTTATTTTATAAGTTAGTTCACAATATTTGATTACATTTAATATTCAAACACCAATACCACCATCATTACACCTTCCCACCATGTTTGGGATGTTTCCATTCTAAGCCCCAAACCCTGTACCCAAACACAATCTAAATAATGTATTTTGTATTGTTTGTTATGAAAAATTGCTGAGAATGATACAAAAAGTATCCATAGAGGAAATAGTGTGAAGATTGTTCTATTAAGGCAGGAGCCATTAAGACCTTCTTTAGGATATCACAAACAAGTTCTTCAAGGTTGATGATGTAAACTTTCATCTATATATCTGAAAAAATATATATATGCATATATATTTCCCTCTATGATTGGTTCCCTACTATTTGAACCCCATCAAATATGGTGTGGTGCTCTTGGAGAATGGGTGGGGAGTGTCTTATGATGTGTCATGCAGTCGCAAATGCGGTCCAGGAATAGGTTCACTCATGCATGAGGCTCGCCTGAGCTTGTGGGGAGTGGCATTGACCATGGCGGTTGTTGGGTAGTGGATTTTTTCAGCTGCCAGGGATAGGTCCCTTAGGGAGGGGAGGGCTCTCATGCATCCCCCTCTGGGGTTCCCCAAGTGAAACAACCTGGCACAGTGTCCCGTGGCATGACTATAGTGGGTCTCGTGGCATGACTATAGCAGGTCCAGTGACATGACTATTGCTCCCTTCCAGGAGAGAAAGTCATGCAATCTGGATGGTGGACAGTGACTAAATTGGAAATATGAATTCTTGAGGTGACAAGTTTGAGATGTTTACTAGATAGCCAAAGGCATATATCAAGTAATTAGTCAGATATATGAACCCAGGCATGCTGGTCCCAGGGCTGAGATCTCCAAGCCTGCTTGGATCGGGACTGGGACTTCTCCACCCAGATCCCCCATCTTCCAGTAGGTAGGCGTCACACCACCAGCTGCTGCCAGCACCAGGTTGCTCCCATCAACGGCCAAGACCCAGAGCCTATAAAACCCAGCTCCTAGGTTTTATATCATCTTACTATCTTGCTCTTACTTTGGAGAACCTGGCAGGCTACCGAAAGTATCCTGCCCTCATGGCAGAGTCTGGCAAACTTCCCGTGTCATACGCAATATGCCAGTTACCATTAACAATGATGGGACTCATTCTCCTAACCCTGAAAGAGCATTGAATATGGCTTTTTTAAAATCTCAGGGCTAGGAAGAAGGAGACGTTACTGGTGCCTGCTCGAGGCAATCGACGAACAACAGGATGATTGTGATCATGCTATGAGTTCAAAGTTCAGTGAGAGGTTGATGATATAATTGATAATCTTCCAGAATATGATAGTGTTTAAATCTTAAGTAGAATTGTACTAAGTGGAATAGCACTAACTTGAATTGTATTTAAATAAAAAATAACTGGGAAGTTAGGATGGGAGAGAAATGTAAGCACCCTCCAATATTAAAAACTTAAGTAGATGAGCATAAGTAGCAAAGGAGACTGAGACTCAGAAGCCAAAACAGTGAAAGAAAGCCATGAGAAACACAGGAAGCAAATTGTTCCAATAGGAGTGTTAATTGGCTGAAAGGTCAAGGAAAATCAGGTCTAAGATTTAAGTTGATCAAAGTGGATTCTAGAAGGAATGGGAGATGGTGAACCAGACGCTGAATTTAGGGAAGTTTTAAAAATTTCTATGCATAATAAAAAATCAGAGAAATGACACGGTCTAATGAGAAATATTGATCAAGAGTTTTCACATTTTAGGATGGATGAATTAACTGTATTTTATATATCAAATAATCTAGTAGAGAGGAAAAAAGAAGC